AGAATTCAAAACTGAGATGCATGCTGCTACTTTTTACTAAACATCATGAGTTATTCAAGTAAGTTATTTAACCATCTTGATGGTTATCTGAGTAATGCTCATGAAGTAATTTATTCAGCAAATACTGGTTACAGTTACCAAATAATTTATATAAAAAGCATATTTTTTGGTATTCAACCCGTTCTTACAGATGGCTCATGATTCATAGGATTAATTTGCAGAACACAGATCATCCATGTGTATTCACTGTAGGCTCGAAGTGCTACTGAGTTACATGCTAATTAATTGCCAGAGAAATCTATGTTAGGAGGGTATTAAATGTTGGGAGCAAGTATCAGGAATTTTAAGATAAATGGTATTCAAATTATCTTCCAAACAGTGTTAACTCAGGAAAGTCAAATAAAATTTGCAAAACTTCCAAATAAGTTAAAGCACAGGAATTTACAGACAGTACATCCAATACTTGCTGACCTTTAATTTATACTGCAGTGGTGACAAGCAAAAAATGACCAGTTATGATCAGTGTATAGAGAATGAAACAAAACCAAACCTTTATATAAACTGTGGAAGGGAAGAGCAAAGACAAGAAAATTCATCAATCAAGATAAAGGCAGTTTAAGAAGTGAAAGGGGAAAAAAACCCACAAACAAACCAACCAAAACAAACCAATAAACAAACACACACACACACACACACACACACACACACACACACACACACACACACAACCAACTCAAGTGATGCAAAGGAATTCCTAAGAAATTCCTAATGTAAAAGATGGCTAACAATAATTTTCTTAGCTTAGAGGAACATTTCCAGATAGAATTAAAGGTGCCTTAATTGACTTCTGTATTTCAAATATTAGATGCTTCACAGCATTGCTTAGCTGTAACACAATCAATGTCAACCATTTCTTCAGGATTGGCAATGGATTGAATACTTTGATACAGCAGTGGTTCCCATATTGTTATCATCTTTTGTCATTATGAGAATTATAATGTCATTATAGCCTCAAGAAGCAAAGTAACTTTTCCTCATGCTTTGAATCAAAATTTTGGGTATTGATTCTGTACTCAAATCCAGTGTTGCTAATTATAGGGTGTGTTACATTCACCGTCTGTAATACACTTTCTAGGTCTCTGCTTGTAATAATAAAACTCAGGTCAGCATCAACCAATTGCTGGAGACACAGGTGATGTCTTATTTAGTGTAAAAATATTTCAATTATCTTATGAACTTTAATACATTTTCCACTTGCTCGTTCTGTTTAAAAGATACATTTTACAATAATATTAAACTATGGTAATTAACAAAACTACCAGGAACAATGCAGAACGTATTTTTACCACGCTAATGAATATGTAACAGTAGCCTTTTCTGTTGAGATATGCAAGTTTGCACAGACAAGCTTAGAGAAGCCACACCCGGGTACTGTGGCTTGCACACAGCATCATTTATTTCCAGAACAGCGTGACAAATGGTTTTGATATGCTATCTTCCATAGGCTAAGTCAGTGATTATTCAGTAATAAAGGTGCACAAGCCTGGCTTCTGGAGGGCTTGATAATGTTACCTGCAATCTGGTTTACTCTGACATCTATTTTATCATTTAAGACTTATTTTGTGTGCCTTCTGCTTTAGAATCTCTCTGAAGTCTCACCCATGAATTACAAAGCAATTGCTCTAGTCTCCAGCTGGATTCAGCACAACACAAGCAAATCAGCAGTGAGCCAACTTGATATGCCCTATTCCAAGGATTTGTCAGCCTCCTGGCTGCTCCACTTTGTGCCTGGCAGCGACTCCTGCCCCAGGAAACCTTCACACAGCATTCCCTGCCCCAGCTGCATCTTGCTGTCCCTCTGCCTGTTTTTCATGCAGCTTTACTGGCACATCACAGCCTAGCTCTGAGAAGTTAGTGCAGCTCAGGAAGCCCTTTCTTTCCTCACAGCACTTTATAGCTTAAGAAGCATGCTCTCTTCACTAATTTACCATTAACGGCAATACATTTTTTATTTCAGTTAGAACTGTGCTGCTTATGAAAGCTATTATAAATGTGGAAGTTTGATTATGGAGCAACACCTACTTAAAAATGCTCTTCATGCATCATGTCACTGTTTCTTTCTTGTAGCTCAATTAGATTATGATGTTCTCTTTCACAGCTACAGAAATAAGCATGATTATTTTCTTTACAGGCTTTTTATTGTATTTCATTCTTTGCTCTACAGAATCTTAAAAGTAATTTTCTGTGTCACTTTTACAAAATTAAGATTCCTAACAGCTATTTAAATAATTATCTAACTTCAACTGTTTTGATATATAGTTGACTGAGAACAGAAGTTTTAATGATGGTTAAAGAACATTTAATTGCTTCAGCAAAGTAATTAAGTTTTTCTGCTATTAATAAAATCTACTGTAAGTATTCATTAATATTAGAGTCTTAAAGAATCCACAAAAGATCCCCTGAAGTACCTGATTTGTGGGCAGAAAATATAAATGAGGCTACATTATTTCAATTGTATGTATACATTCAGTGAATAAGATACACACACTAAATTCTGGTAAAGACAAATTGTAATCTCTTAACACCAATTTGCTCCCCAAGACTGGGTTCTCAGCAGGGCAACAAAACCAAAAAATTTGCATGAACAATAGTGGCGTTTAATGTTTTCAACAAATGAGAAAAAGATGACTGTAGGATCTTTCTCCAGAATCCCAACCTCCTATCTTACTTTACAACAGAATCGTAATGACCAACATAAAACAAAGAATTTACATTGTCTTCTGTGCTGCTTTACAGCCTAATTTTCACTGTTCATTGAAGCACACAAAAATGACAGTGCTGCTATTCACTATTCATAGAATTTAATAATAAAAATATGTTAGCGTTAGGTCTGTGGCTTTACCCCCAGAAGCTGAAAGGAAATTTTGCAGGAAGAGTGCTGTAGTCCTTTACTACAGCAGCATCAGAAGAGAGGTGACACTAAAAGAAAAGAGGCTTCCTCACTGCGTCTAAAAATAGCCCAAAGCCTCAGCCAGTTTACTGGCTGGAAAGGATATGTGCAAGAGAGGTTCTTCAGCACTAGGTCCAACATTAATTGTGTTTCACCGCCTCCATTATTATTCCCCAAGTTGGAGTGATTCAATACTGATTTTGCTGTGTAACGCAATCTGTCTCCTTCAGGTCACTAATGAAAATTATTTCAACTAACGGCAAAGGCAGAAATGAGTATCTGGTATTCTCAACATGTCATCAAGTCTTTTTTCAGGTAAGTGTTGAGATCACAGCAGCAAAATTACACACAGTCACAGATGCACTGGCGTACATTAGGAATGACAGGAATGAAAGCTTGTGTGGAGAGGAAAGGAGGGTGTCCAGTGTACACAAAAGGACTACCAGTAAGAGTAAAGAGAGCACAAGCCCCATCAAAACATTACAGAAACACCTTAATATTTCAGCTGGAGTAAGAATGTTAGAAATATCTCCAACATAATGTGATAGTGTAACATCGGACTACAAAATTGCACTTATGAGCATTAAGAGTCTTCAATGTATTTTTGAATGTACAGGAATAGATTGGACAAGATGTGATCTGATGCGTATATGTAACATGTATGAGTGACTTCCTACACCCACACACAGTACCAAAGGTATATCCTTACACCAGAGGTGTAAACAGCTGTCTGCCTAGATCATAACCAGACACTGAGGTGTGAGTAGATGTAGGTTAAAAGTCCAATTACTCAAAACCCATTTATCTCTACTGATAAATTCCTAAAAGGAAATTTTGGAGGCCTCTCTTAGTATGTTAATAATAATCTTTGATTATCGTGTCTATCTCATTTTGCACAAATTTATTATGTTAAAGGTCTTTGTTAGAGATTAAAATTAAGCTGAAGACAAACATGGCTAGTACATTTACATATGTCATGCCTGAAAACAGGAGTTCAGTTCCAGAACTACATTAGACATTTCTGAGCTCTGTAGCTGTGTCATAGCATTATGTAAAAATAAAAGAACACAGAATAAATTCAGTCAGTTATTATCTTTTTCCAAAGAAAGAGCGATAAGCATCGTCACTGTTTAAGTAAAAAGACTAAATTAATCAAATTAATCTAATGTGGTAAAAGAAAACAAGTAGGAGGGATTAAAAAGGCCTTCTTGTTTTTCCAGGATTTGAATTACTTATTCACTGTTATACACATTTTCACTCAGAGAGATAAAACACTATGGTCTTTTGTTATGCATCTTTTTATCAACTTTGTTTTGACCAACTTATATTTTTAAAACAATAGTGCTGTTTAATTTCTAATCTAGTAACCCAAAAACATTGCCAGCATGCAGTGAATAGATTTGATGTGCAAACCATGATTTGTAGAGAGTTTGAGGTGTTTGTTGCAACTGCATGTTTTCAACAAAAAATTTCCTTTTAAAGAATGACATAAAAATTAACTCCTGCAGTAGTAACAGCATTTTTACTAGTCAAAAAATAAATGTCTTCAAATGTTTGGCTACAAATTCTTATTGTTTATTTTGAAACTTGTTTTAAAATGTTATGTTCTAAAATTCTGCCTTCTACAGTGTAGAATCTAGCTTTAGTGCCTTCGATCTTATGAGGTATGACACAAATAAAATCAATAACCTAGGCCTCACATATTCAATTACTTATATATTCTCCACCAGTTCTTAAAATTATTATTTTGATTCTCTGTGAAAGGTCATTCTGTCCTGTTGTCTATGGAGCTGGGGCAAGCGTATCAAGATAAATATCTGCCTCTGGTGATGATGGCAAAAGGATAACATAGAAATTAAATTATGTTTTTCCAGCTTTTCAAGAGTTAATTTTCAAAATTTAGTATTATTCTTGTCCATAGTGAAGAGTAGTAAAATAATCATAGTGTATGCATTTGCATGTTTGAATGCTGCTTTTTAGTATAGGATTTCTTTTATTCTTGCTACTGAATACTGAAGGTCTATTTTCTATTGCACTCAGGAAGGCTTACCTGAATTACAAGTGTTGCTTTATGCTTCTTGCCATACATCCTCGGCTTGAATCCCACCGTTATATGGGTTCCCACAGTGCCTGCTGGAAGAAGTTCTCCAGTTTGTGGCAGAACACTGAAGTCAGGATCGCTGCCTGCCAGGAAGCATGCAGTGAAAGGCTCCGGGTAGCTACAAAAAAGCACAGGAGGCTGTTGTGCCTTTTCGGTATCTTAATTTAATTTATCTACAATCAAACATTTAGTCCCCCATGTGGCATGACTCAGTAGACTTGGCAGTCCATGGAATGCATATAGAATAATAATAGCATTCTGACTTACAGAATAAATATTCCGTAGTAATTATTTACATTTATTTATAAATATTTATAATCTTTACACACAGGGACCTGCATAATGGTCTTCCATTCAAAACATACTTACATGCTGCTATAAATATTATAACTACAGAATAATGTTAGCATTTGCCACTAAAAAGAAAAGAATCATCTAACATGTAAAGATATTCTAATAATGATAGAAATAAATTCCACGTCAGAGTGAAAATCCACTTTTCCTATTAAAAAATTTTCACTTCTCCAATCTCTAATCAAATAGAAATGACAAGCCACCCATTTTATTAAGTTTTATGACTAGAACTGAATTTGCAATCTGGTGGAGTGTTACTAGATTGGGAGGGAGTTCTGAAAGCCTTGAAATGAACATACGGAAATTAACAGTTTTCTATGATTGTTTTACAAATTTTTCATATAAACTAAACACTTTAAGATATTGCAATAATAATTAGGTTCCTCTACTGATATTATTGTATATGTCTTATCTTGTAAGAATTTCTGTCACAGGTACTGCAGATCTTGTCTAATTGCTAGTTTCATGGCAGTACTGCTGCACTCAAAGAAAATGTCTTATTCCTGGTAAAGACAGTAGCTGAGGACTACAAAACAATTTTAGGCTAATCTCAAACTGAAGCCTCACAGTTCCTCAGGGACCCCTTGCCATAAGCTTTCTCAGCATGGAAAAAATATACATTTTTTTGTATTTTCCGGTCAGGCATTCTCATTTTAGGCTTTATATGTGTTGCTGAGAGCAACTCTTACTATCTGGACAGAAAGAGTACAAAAGAACTTGAAACTAGAAATACAACAGCATGGTCAAAAAAATAATCCACAACACCCTGCCACAGTACAGCAGGGCAAGTATCATGCATGCTTAGAGAGAACCCAGTTTTAGTTGACAGAACTTGAAGAATGAAAAACTAATAGCATCTCAAAAAAAGCAGTTCAAATCTGTTTATTCATGGATTGACACACCAGAAATAAAACTGCTTTTCAAAGAAAATACTCACAAAGAAGTGAAATTTAATATTTTATGACCATTCATATCTCTATGGAAATGTCCCACATTTCCTGGGTAAGTGCTATTCAGTGGGTGGTATGCTGTGTCTATGTCATCTTGTTTAAAAATAGCTCTCCTTTGGAATATGTTTTCATGAAAATATCCTCATGAAAGAAAGGTCACACTGTAAGTTTGTAGAAACAAATAGTACAAGTGCAGAAAATGGAAACCAAAAAGCTTCTGCCTATTCAAAAAAAGTGATATTTAGCAGTGCCATCAGACTTGGGTGTATTAGCAAATCTAGCTTAGCTTTTCCTTTAGGTGATAGCAAAGTGGGCAAAACTGCTGAATGTCTGAAACTACACTTCAAGTCTTGTGACACCAATCTTGTGCTGACAATCTCTTTTCCTGATACCTACAGCCCTGGGCCATAAGTCCTAATACTGCTATGCCCCAAGTATCCATCTATGTGCCACCTAAACCTTGAATTTTCAGACTGGTATTTCCCACAAGGACTGCTCAGCTGTGAATGCCTAGAGCACGCCTACTACACACAAAGGACAGGCACAGGATGAAAAAGAATTAACGCCTCTTAAACTAGTAGCAGAGTAAAGCCCTCATCAAAAATATCTGAGATATATGTTCAAACCCTGCTTCTGGAAATAGAGAGCTCAATACAGGCCTTCACTTCCGACATCATTGCTCTGTAGACTAGATTTAGGAACATTTTAAGAGAGCACTTCCTTTATCTCCCATGTTCAGTCTGTTTTCTGGTAAGTAGTGAAGGATGACAACTCCTAATGAGCACTTGTGTCTCTGTAAGACATACAAAAGTGTGACTTGGGACTACAGATGCAATGATGAAATGCTAAGGGGGATGGGACAGGCTGCATGCACAGAAGACACAGGAAAATACGGACTTTATTCCTGTAGAAATAGCATTTTTTAAACAAAAGTGTGAAGTCAGTTACTGGACACAAATATTCCTCAAAGTGGAACATTTGTGCAACTATGTCAAAATAAGGAAAATAGAAAATCTGGCTAATTATATTTATAGTCAAAATATGATAAGCCAGCAGGGATTCTGATTAAGATATGCCTAACAGTACAAGAACTAGCAATTAAAAACTTAGACATAATCAGAAACAAGAACCTTTCACAGTGCTGATAGTGCTGATAAATCATGAATTTTTGTTTTAAAAATATATCTAAAGATGACCTCTCAAGAAAAACAAGCAGTGTTTTCACTGATGTTCTAATCAGGGAGATGATCTGCCATTCTGGCTAGCTCACTAGCATAAATAAATATCTATCATTCTCATCTTCTACAGTACAGAAAAAGCTGGAGATAATATTTCCAGAATAGCACCTGAATTTCAGACATTATTGTTTTCAGTGTCTGGATATTTAGTGTATAATTAAAAATTAATAATTATGTAGTTTAAACTTATTAAAAATTAATTCTTACTTTTTGATTACTGCTTCAGGTAGAACAGCTCTGGAGTCAATGTTTGGATTGTAATTTCTCAGCCATGAAGGACAGTGATTAGGCAGTCTGTATTTTTTCAAGAAGGTTTTTGTTTAACTCAAGAGTGGCAGATCCTAGCATACTAGATTAAGTTTAATGATATGTAGAGTTTTGAAAACACATATGAACCAAACAGAAATGAATTAGTAAAAATAAGGGGAGAGGTTATATAAACCAGTGAAAGCAAATGTGTCTTCCCACCTGCGTGTTCCATAACTCCTGTAATAGTGGTTTGGTATTGCTATCAGACAATATAAACTGTGCTCTTATATAATGAACAAGAATAAATATCAATTTGAATTTAAATAATAATTGGATAATGAAATCACAGTAACCAGGAAGAGTGGAAATTGAGGTAGTATTTAATAGACATATTTATATTACTCCTTTAATCTTGTTCTTAAATAGCATTGTTCTTAAATAGAGGTCTGTGCTCATCAGTGTACTCATGTTAGACAATTTTCAAATTAGTAAACTAGAAAAGAATACCACCTTATGTCTTCAATTAAAGAAAACCTTACAATGTATATTGCCATAGATATCTTAGTGCAAAACTTATTAAATGCCCAGCAAATCTGAAAATACAAGCCTTTACTAAATTAAGGTTCAAGATAGCTTTAATGTTTACTCCTCTCCACCTCAAACTAGCAAAGCAGTAAATTATTCCTGTAGAAATGTATTCCTTCAAAAAATTCAGCACTTTGCAAACTATACATTAAAAAGTTGCATAATGCTTTTGATCAAGTGCATAATTATTTTCAATAAGAGAATTAAAAAATGTCTTAATCTGTAAATTATATAAATGCTTATAAGGGATATGGTTTGAAAGTGTTGCAATGTGCTTCCAAAAATCGTTAATCGTAACTAAACTTAATTTTTGAAATTTGTAGTTAACATGTGCTGGATGATAAAATAAATTCCAGTTATTACATAGTGAAGTTCTTTAAACTTATTAACTGTATGCAGTTGTCAAATTCTATAAAATTTTTAATGATAGCTGGTATGATTAATATAATTTCTTTTCAACAAAAAAGAAAATAACAAGGGGAAAAGATAGGAAATTCTCATTATTTTCAAAATTGGGTAGGTTTTGTACAAAAACCAACTCTGGTTTAATTGATCCCTCTAAATACTGAGCTTTGGACATCAGAAAAGATTTAACTCCAGTTATCACTCTATAGGTTTGGAAAGACTGCTTCAGAATTAAAGGACTTTCAAAAAATATGAAGAAACACTGCATGATAAATGACTGTCAGGGAATGCTTTACCAAATATAACATCACTTTTGTTCTGTACATGTTGTAAAAGCACAGCAGGAGCTAGAGGTTTTATCCTCACAGAATGTTAAGATTTGTCTCATTCCTGTTTTGCCCAGGAATACGATATTTGCAGATTGGTAAACTGACTTTTCCTGCTTAAATGAAGTCCTGGTGACATGGCTAGATATAGCTCCTTGCTAAGTGTGTGACATGTCAGGTATCGTATTATTAGGAAGGGTGATCATAATTTTTTGGAAGCTCTGCTACATGTGTATCATTATTGATATTTTCCACTAGTCTCCATTCAGACTCCAAAAAATGGAGCTCAGTCAACATTTGTTCTTTGCAGATGCCAATACATGGGAGAAGCTAAGAGAAAGTATTCTAATTACATCTTTAGATAAATTGTAGAATTTTTCAGACCTGGTAACAAAAAGGTTGGCATAGGAATCCAGGCCTGTAACATGCACTGTGACATGTGAGAGAGGGTGAGGAGAGGGTGTGTGTAATGAGAACTTAATGAATGCATTTTCTTGCAGCATACATAATTCTGGCTCATGGTAATTCTAATGAAATACAGCAGTAATTACAGTAAAATAGAAATATTTCTCAAAGCTGTAATTGTAGACATTTTTCCCTTCACAATTAGGGAGGATACAGAAAAAAAAAAGGTTGCTTGCTATTCTTCAGACAGCATTAAAATTAATTTTGTGTGGTCAAGGAATGCTTTTAATTGAACATTTATTCTATGCACTAGGAAACGTGCATAGAAGAAATAAGGAAAATATCCAGAATGGTGTTCAACATACAAAATGAAGGTTAAGATAAGGAAGTCTGCACATGCAGTCATTTTAAAGCCTAATCTCGTCTTTTTTCTCATCTCCCCAGTTCACCTGTATTTGTTCTCTCTTTATTCTAGCTCTGCTTCCATAATCTGGTGAAGCCTTGGACTTTGCAGATACCACTCCAAGGAGACTGTGTTGATACCACATTGTTTGCTTCTGTGATAGCAGGAGCTAAGTATGATTTTCTGAAGCAGAGTTTGAGTTCATCTGAGAAGTCTCCTCAATGTAACAAATACCACGTTTGTTATAAACTCAGGATTCGACTGAGAGGTTGGGGTGGAAGGATGGATAAAATTTTACTGTGTAAGGGAAGCAATACATGATTAAAACAATCACTAACAGGTACACGAAAAGCTAAAATTATATTGGTGAAAGGAGGTTCTGTGTATGAGAAATAAGCAAATAGAATGAACAGGAGAGAATTATCCACCATTTTGACTAAACAATCAAAAGTAATGTAGTTTACAAAAAAAAATTCAAGTGAAGATAGTGTTCAATTACCTACATGTTTTGCATCAGCTACTGAAGTATTTGCACTGGAAAACAAATAAGGTAACATTCTGCTGTAGCTGGATATCAGTATTTTAATGTGAAGAAATAAATCCAGCCATCAATATACTTCTGTACAGGAATATATCGTAGGAAATATTCTCCAAAAAAAGTTCTGTATTAATATAATTGTTCTGATCCCAGAACATAATTGATTAAAAATGCATTAAGTTATTTTCAGTAAAACAAATAAGAAAAGGACTAGTTTCCTTAAGCAAAGCATAATTTGGGGAATTTTTATTCTCTATTTCAATTAAAGACATCAGCATAAAATAATGGACCAATAACTCGGGCTGGATATCAAACAAGTTTTTATAATTTTTATTTCCAGGGATAATATTCTATCTACTCTTTTTGGTTAAGACTACTGTCATTCTGTAAACCATTGGCATTCAATAATGCATTTGGTATTAAAAGAAACATCAATGTTATCACAAACATTAGAGGCTTGTACCAAAGCCAGCTACCTCAGTGGAAATGTTGCCAATTATTTCAGCTGGTGTTGAATTAAACCCACATTTATGACAAAAACCAAAAGGTTGTCTACGGATGTTAAAAAGAGGCAGATTTTTCTTATTTAACAAGTGAAATCTGTTTATTTGACTCTAACCAATCTTAATGCCATTACAAGGAACCATTCAAAAATATGTCCCTTTTGAATTTTTAAAGCTGAAAGTAAAATATTGGAGTGCTCCTACATAGCTACTGTGCTAGGTGCAGACAGTTTTAAAAAACATATTTGAGTTTTTTTCATACAACAGAATTGTTTGGCTGCATTCTCGGTATCTTTCATTATTTGTTGAAGCAGATATTGGGCTGCTTCTCATTGGGGACAAGTATTAGAAGAGAGAATGCATTACATATTTCTATATGCTCTCAGAGCTTTCATTATTGTAGACTGTTGTGAACAGCATAGCAACTACCACCCATTTGTAACTGCTCATCATTTCTGAAGCAATGAGATTAAATGTAGTTATGGATAAATTGGAAAATCATTAATTCAGTCTGAAATATTTTGTATACACTGAGGATTTTGCTGGGGAAGGGTGAAATTAAAGGGAGAAGCCCACCTTTGAGTTGCAGTAACTGTAAAGAAAAAGACACCTAAAACCCTTGACCTCATAGTTTTGTAGTGGTCTCCAAAGGTGCTCTGTGGATCACTTATTCAACTTGGTTCATATATACAAGAACTCTAATCTGTCCTTAATAAGATACTGAGCACTTTTTTGGACCTGTTCTCAAATATTTTTTTTGCTGCATGACTATGCACCCTGCTAGCCCAGAGATGTACAGGTCTTCTCAGTGATGCTGTGCAGCTACTCTGTCCTGCAAGCAGCAGAGGGAGAAAAGGATATAGCTGCAGAGTCCCTTTCTAGCAGGTTGCTCAGAAATAAGTTCTTCTATATGAGAGTGGTAGATCACTGGAACAGGTTGCCCAGAGGTGTGGTGGAGGTCCCATCCCTGGAGATATTCAAGGTCAGGCTTGATGGGGCTCTGAGCAACCTGACTTGGTAACATTGTCCCTGCTCTCTGCAGGGGGTTGGACCAGATGGTCTTTAAAGGTCCCTTCCAACCCAATACATTCTATGATTCCATGATAAATACATCTGCCCCTTTCTGTAGTTACTCTCAAAGCAGCAGTGCCATGTGGTACTATCCAGCATAAGAAGGGAAGACAGAAAGTGCCTATATGTAGGGTGAAAAAAACCCCCACCTCTCTTAAAGTACCAGAACTGATTCTCTATGGGATCGTGCTTCTAATTATTTACTTAAGAAAAACTCCAAAGGGCTGGCTGATCATTTTTTTTCAGGGAAGGTCTATAGGATGACACTCTATATCCCACTTGAAACAGTTAATCCATATATTAATATTTCATTGTTTTATTTTTAATCTAAGTCATCTGAGTTATTGAAGCATTAAATTACATCTCTAATATATGGGTTTCTTGTGTAATTGCTTTTAACTGCGGATCCTGTATGCTAAATGTTGGCTGGCTGAGTGTTCTGTTTCTACAGCAAAAGTTCCACCACTGAAATCTCCTAAGCAAATCAAACACAGAAAACTTACAGAGCAGTTTTTGCACTGTTTACAAAACAGACCTTATTCAGTACATGCAGGCATTACAATTTGTATTAGAAATGTATGGGGGGAACCCTTGTTATGTAAAATAAAGTTGGAATTCTTTTAAGGAAAAAAGAGAATCCATCTTCCATTGTGGCTCCTTCTTTATATAACTATAATGATTCAGGTTTTAGAATACCTTTCTGGAGAACATTAGGTCTCTTCGCTACTATCAAATACCTACCAGGAGATTACATTATTGCCAGAGCAATTGCTTTACTTTTGTTCTTGAAACAGCCCATTCTATTGAAGTTGTTAACTTCAACACTGTGATAGAAGCCTTTTTCAGAGTCCTTGGTAATTATCAACCCTGACAGCCACCTAAAAGCTGGAACAACTGTCCATCTTGGATCCACAGCTTTTGGAAATAAGCTCTTTAAAAAAAACAACAAAAGGCACTTCCTGCTGGGGATGCTACAAAAGCATGTAATCAATGAAAGTTAACTATCAATCAGCATATTTGGCACACTTTCTAGATATACAGTAAAAAACCCTCAATTATAAAGAAAAAGGGAAATTTTAAAATTTCCATAATCTAATTAGATCATAAGCGTCACGATTCTTTCAGGTTCACTGCTTACTATTTTTAAAATTATCTATCAGTACCATACAATTTATTCATTGACTTTCTGCTGTATACAAATGACACCATGGGTTTGATATAACATTATGAAACTCTGAGAAAATAATGAAAACTATGTAAAAATACATTAACAGAGATTTCTGCAGGACATTTTGAAAAGACAGCAACAAAATACTGAAGAATGACACAATTATATTACCTAGCGAAAGGCCAGAGTCAAGATGAAATCATAATATGCTTATATAAAAAACCAGGAATACTTAAAAGAAATGTCACATTTTAAAAAAATTAAAGCACAATGCAAAGGATTGTTTTTAACTTGGTTTAAGTGTAAAGTACTTTGAACAAAAAATAAATCTATGAGTAAATACATTAAGGCTTTAATAGTGAGCCTACAACACACCCACTTTAACATCACATTACACATTTAAACACAAAAAAGCATTTTAGGCCAAAACTTTAAATTTATAACATAAGCATTTGGATGTATTCCACAAATCTCGAATGGCTACAGCCTAAATGTAGAATGTTTCTGTTCAGCACAGCTTCAAAATCACATTTGTTACCTCTACAATGCAGCACTTGAAAGTAACTATGTATTACTGAAATAGCTGCAGTTCAGTTATGTTTGTGTTGCCCAAATCTACTCTATCCAATGTCAGAGTTTGAGTTCCAGCCACAGAAAACTACATAAATACTTTATCATAAGTACTTTTACCTTGTCTGGCTTGTAAGCTTAAAGCCAACTATAGATTCTTTATTCAGGCCAACAGCTTCAATGTTGATGACATCATCCACTTCTGGCTCCATAGCAATGAACAGCATTGGAAACTTCCAAACACCTCCTGTAGTGCTCTGTACTACTAGAGTTGCTTTATTCCTTAAAATTTCAGATTAAGACATTCATTACATAGAACAGCATTATAAAATATAACTCAGTAAATTAATGTTCAAAATAAGCCTTGAGTGTGTACAACTATACTATGTGAAATGAAAATACAGATTTAAATTGGAATACATTCTTAATTTTACATAGCATAATATGCATTAGTTGCACTTTAGACTGGATTATAAATTAAATAACATCTGATATTTACAGCAAATTACAAGAAAGGGAATAATATGAAAGCAAAATTATGGGCACAGCTTGATTCTTTTTCTGCTTACTCTCTATTGAGTTCAATTCAATTCAATTTGTTTTATTCATTATTCTTTATATACTGTCATGCTAGAGGAGTATTTGGTCCAGACCAGGTTAGTAGTTCATATTAGAATCAAATAGATCTGATGTAGGTCTATGTACTTTAGAAAAATTCCAGACTCTGATGTCTTCAGACCATCTAAGAGAGTTGGCACTGTAGATTCTGATGACAAAGAAACTAATTAATTGCAGTCATTGAATTCTCTGCATGAAGTCTAATACATTTTAAGTAGATAAAGATAAAAAAAAAACCAAGTTAAATAAAAAGGCTTTCTAAATTAATCTCCCTTCTGCCACAGTGACAGTGTATGGAGTGGGTGGATAGTCTTTCCTAAAGGTTTGCTCTTTGTTTATTTCAGTAACCTTCTGGACTATTGCAAATACAATTTCCTCCTGCATCCTAAAAACGTCCTTTTTGCATGCAACCCATGCTATTCAGCAGTGAATGCTCCCTAATCTTCCTGGTAGTGTTGAACCTTGTGCCTACATCTTACTGAAGCGTCTTTCCAACGTCCTCCCCATACACATTTGACTACTTCAAAAGGAAGGTGCAACTTCCATCTCTCCAAAAGGATCTCCCTTTCATAGTTATGCTTCTTTTTTTTTTAATAGAGATGGGATGTACTAATGTAAGTCAAAAGCAAACCTATAAAGACGATAATATTTTCCTGTGGACTGTTGTTACTGGGGCATTGGAAGCTAATTTCAAATTCAAGCATCCCTTCCAGTCAAAGAACAGGCACACATGCTCATCTAGGAAAAGTTTTTCAAGACTGATCTTCTCTGTATGCTTTCTGCAAATTTTGAGAACAACTAATTTTCATTGGAAGTCTTTCAATACTCCAATGTTTGGAACTAAATTAAATCAGTAACTCAACAGAACCATCTTGCAGGCATTAAAAAGAAACATTGTCAGTTTTAATACCAATGTTATCATACTGAGAAGAAGCAAGTGAGAAAATATAAAATAATAGATCTCAGAGGTCAAAACGAAATGAGGAAAACAATGCAGGGAGGTGCTCACATAGCCAAGAAGGACCAGACAGGATTTTATTGCATGTTCCATTGGTAATAAGGAACAGGAGCTTACCTCATTGGTTTGCTAGGCGTAAACACTATATTAAAGATCAGTACTGTGATTCCAGATTCTGTATCCTGTTCTGTTTGAACCAGATGCACACCAACTAAAGATTCAAGTTGAGATTTAATTTCATTTGATTCATATTGTAATTCATACAGAAATTTCACTGTTGCAGAGAAACCTAAATGAAACAGGAGAAAAAGATCAGTCTGTGCGCACTCTAATGTGACAGTTGGCTGTCTAGTAGTTACAATTCTTTCCTTTGCTACTAAAAATGACAAATAAGTATAAATAGTAATTATCCAAAGTTTAAGTGATTTGCTTCTGACTGCATAGCAAAATCTTCCAGCTTCATATGACATTCTATAGTTTCTGGCAAAATGGAAGCTGGAATACTGACTAAGAAGATGTGAACAGTAATAGCAATATTGTTCTGGTTACCACTTCTGCACTATGATGACATATTTCTAGTTCATCAGCCAAATAAAATTTGCAAGAATGTAACACTCTTTTAACGTAACGCCACTGCGACAATCCAAAAAAAAAAAAAAAAGCCATTAAGGACATTAGTGTCATTGACAACTACAAGCCTAAGAAACAGAATACAGAAAAATAGTGAAGATGTCACTAGCAGCCTCTTCTACTATTCCCTGTAGCAGTTATGAAAAGGCCAAGTAGTAATAACATAAGAATAAACAGCTGAGCTTCTTGAATCAAATGCCTCCTCCAGCTGTAATAAAGAAAACTGTGATATTCAGTATACAATAGTAACCTGTGCACAGAAGGGAATGTTTCTATGAGGAAAAGCATCTCAAGCTGCTAATCTATTTAAAAGTTTTAGGCACTTTATGGATGAAAAATGTATTTAAAAACCACTAAATTCAACAGGATATTTCATTTTACTATGACCACGTATCTTAGGATACCTTCTGAATTTGCACAGCTTATTAAAATGTGTTGTGCGGAACTCCTATGCATGCATCCCTGTAGAGATATATGCTGAGTGCCAGTCAGCTGCAAAGTTAATTCCCAAGGCCTTCTGACTTGGAATTCTATACTGAAGGCTACATATCTCTTTATACAAAAAGTCTGATAGATAATGCACTGTGTGACAGTTGAAACAAAGCTTGCCTTGTTTTTGCTAATCTGTAATGCTACCCCAATTTAAGTGAATATGGAGATGCCTACCTACACTTGTAGTGGCTTCTCCTTTTCAAATATACAAATTCCTTCTCACTTCATTATCTAAAAAGAAGCTTGAAATTTTGTTGCCAATATTTTTGTAACAGACAGATTAACTCTAAGAAATGTAGCAGTTTATGTGGAAATATTTCTGATTCCTTAAAGGGCATCCTTCACACAGCTATCTGTATAATTTATGCTGGATCAAAGAGTTACATGGATGTAAGCAAGATATTATTACAAACATACAGAATTATTGGTCATAGTAGACACACACTGAGTACCAAATATACAGTATTTCCATGTATTAATCCATTTGTTATAAATTTACTTTATTACAGTAAATGGTTATAAAGAAATTAAACATGAATGTTTTCCTACAGTTTATAAAATTCCTCGGATCATCCTATGTTGTTCCATACTTTGTTGTTTCTCTGTTTGAAAAATATAATGTTTATGCCATTCATTCAGGTTCCAACACAGCCCAAGGCTTGTAGTAGTCACCATAGACAAATGCCAAAACATTAAGATTCAGACACTAAAATTAACTTATTATGGGAGAGAAAAGATGACTTCATTTAGAGCATTCCACAGTGAGAAAATTGCAACTGTTGAGCAGATGTTTCTTTCGGCAGTTATATCACACAGTGCTACTCAGGAAAAGCTTATTTTATAGTTCAGATGCTAGGAAGAAAATGTTGTGAATTGCAAGCTGCTGTTAGTATCCAAAGACATTTGGTTTTGGTTTGACATATGTATATAGTACCTTTCAGTCAGAAGCAATTAAACATTTATATTTTCTGTGCTCTGGGCTGTTTTGTAACCTATTCTATGCTCATACTAGGTTCTTAGTTAAAATATTTTAATATTTACAGCATCTAAGAAAAACTGATGCATTTATAAGTGCCAATATTTGAAAGCTTCATTATGCCAATACCTTAGCTGGTTTTGATCTACACTGCTGATCTAGTTTAGGACCGTTCAAAAAAGAAAAATGTACTTAGATTTTCATCACAGCTGCCCTGAAGACTACTATATTATCCTACTATGGGAAGCCTCTGTCAATATGACAATATTTGGGTCTAGACAATTCCGTAATACACATTCTGCCTAAACAAACTTGCAGCAGCTAGAGGCAAACAAGAAAAAAAAGCGAATAATTTGTAGAAATTTGTCCAAATTGTCAAATGTTCAGAGTTCTCTTGATCCTTAGAATTTCCAGTTTCAATTAAAATGGTGAAATAAATAAAATGCTGGAGACAGAAATAACAATTTCTTTAAAGTAATGCCAAATACTATATATATAACACTATTCAAATATACCTTGACCTTTTAGCCTAGCTCTTTGAATGTTTTCATTCACTAGTTTTCTTTTTAAAAATCACCATTTTAGTATAAGTAAAATTTTTATTTCATCTAATGCAAACTGTAAAATACACATGCAGATGTAAAGTATACTCCAAGTAAGCCACCTCTGTTCTGTAAGGAACAGCAGGAAGAGTTTTAACCATCTGATTCAAAACAGAGATATTTATCAATCCAAACACTGGCAAGATATAAGCATGCTATTTATACACAGCTGGTTACATCTTGGGAATAGAAATTCCAGTTAGAGAAAATATTACTTCCTCGTATTTCCTGAAGAATATCATGCATTATTTAAGTAAAAAAAGGAATGAAAATGTTTTTGAGGTAATCATTCCAAGACAATTTTTTTAAAGTATTAAACACTTCTTGTTTTGAAAGGCACTTAATCTCAGTCTTTAAGTGTTTTTGTTCGTGTAAATAAAGACTTCCAATAGGTAGTATGCATTTAGGCAACACTTGTGTATGCAGAATTACTGAAGCAACTATGTTTAAAAATCAGTAAGGGTTTTGAGCTCTACATTTCTATGATTTGGCTGTTATTTTCAAGTGGTAGTAAGGCTACTTCTTAAAAAGCACTATAATTAAAGTGTTGGGGATTTGCGTGTTGTCTGTTTGTTTGTTTTTTTTAAAATAGCCTCTAAGAAGATGATAGGGAATTGACCACTTTAAAAAAAATATTTTCTGCCTCTTAAGAAGGATAGTGTGGAAACTCCACACTATCCATGATATTTATATGCTCCACTCTGAGCATATAAATGCGGCAAATGTGAAATTTTGTGACTGTTAGGATTTACTGTAAAACTAATTAATAAATGTCATACATCTAAAAATAAAAAGGCAAGCCTAACAGATTTACTTAACAAAAACCTCAGGAATTTAAATGAATTTTTCATGGAAAAGAAGCTGTAGTCAATCAAAATAGTTAAGTACAAGGGCATTGATGGGCCTAATGTCTATAGAAGGTGCTGTGGAAGACCTGCTGGATATATCTGAACTAGAATAGAGTTTCACACTGTCATTAGAGAAGCTCTTTGTACCTCCCTCACAGAAGTGTTTGACTTCACTGAAGACCACCTCACTACACATTATGTTTTCTGATGATAAGAATCTAATGGACACTGGCCTGTGAGGCTGCAGTCTCTTGTGGATAACTCACAGCTTCCTGAGCTCTCTGCAAATAATGCTTAACCTGCAGCAGACTTGATGACACACAAACAGCATGGGAGAGGAACTTTCCATGAAGAAAGAACTTTCCTTATTGTCACGCTGCCTCCCATTTCCAATGAGACAGGAGGAAAATAAAGCTCTGGTAGCAAGAGGTTCAGATAGCAAAAATGCCTGTCCTTATTACAGAGGCTTTTCCTTGAACAGATGCAATCAAACAGAGATGCAAGTGAATTCACTCAATTGTCCTTCCTCACATCTCATTCAGTAGGCTGCAGTTATTTAATAAAAGAGGTCAGCACAATCACAGTATACAAACACAGAATGAAAGGACAGCCATTCATGAACTTGCAGATTCATGTTTTTCAAAAGCTAGATAAATTATTTCATTTGGTGCTGAATGTAAACATATCGCAATCTTTCACTGATTTTTATTCGCTGATTTTGCTAATTCTTCAAGGCTAAGTATCCACTGTGCCCATGACACCTAACAAAGATTTCTTCTCCTCTTGACCTAATAGTGCCCAAACTGGGTAAAATAAGAACTGTGGGACCAGACCTTAACTAGTCACTTCTACCAGACAGCTGGCATCTAATATTGACCTTCCAAACCTGTGAAATATTCATAGACTCATTCAGCTCTCATCTGACACTTGTACTTTTCCTGCTTCTTCACTGTCTTCCAGGAGTCTTCATACACACTGCTGGAACTCAGTAGGCAGTAGGGAATGAACTTGAAATATGCAGTTATGCCTTACCAGCAAAAGCAGCAGCAGACAGAATACATTACTGTACAGTAGATTAATTCATTTTAATACAGTTTTCAAGTAAATTTTCAAGTAAATATTCAAGTGAATAGCAAAACTGAATTATATGAGTAATAGAGGGAAAAAATAAAAGGAAGCCTGTTGGTTGAGGACATCCTAACATGTAAGTAGACAGTATCATCTGCGCAGTAAGACATTAATCTCTGAGAAATAAACATCTATTTCTCACTGTAAAATGCCATGACTCTAGGATAATAGCAACAGAATAAACAAATTGCTCAAGAACCCCAGAAGAGCTGATTGTAACTGAATATGCCTTTCACTAAATTTGTTCATACAGGTATAAAAGTGCTATATGGAGACCATTAAAATATCAGCAAAGATATCATCATATATTTCATTAAATGCCAGGCACAAAAATATTTTAAATACAAAGAAATGGATAATAAAGTTATCTCCTTCTGTTGATAATATACTCATTGATCGTCAATGCAATTCAAGGAAATCCTCAGTGTAGTTCTGTGGATACATCTTTATGTCTCTTCCCTGCAAATTTATTTCTCTTACCATATCCAATTAAAGCTTTTCATCCATATCTTCGAGGATCTGCAAAATTTCACTCTTAGCCACATCTTTTTTTTCAACCTGCATACCACTGCCTATTCCCCTAGCAACCAACTTCAACATTTCCTTTCTGAAT